ACGAGAGGAGACCTGGCTACACTCAACACTAAAACAGTTAGTGAGGCTCAAATAAAGACCTACACATTAAAACTTCCTAAGCGGAGCACTGTAGAGCGGAGGCTTCAGCAGAATAACTTTCTTAGACAAGAAGAAGCCTAACAACCTTCAGTTCTGGTAGGGGACTCTAAGAATGGAGGTCTCAGAACGACTCTCTAGAACGAGAGGAGACCTATCTACACTCAACGCCAGTGGCAGTAGTGAGGCTCAAAAGAAAGAGCCTACATACTCATTTTACTGCCAAAAATGGAGCTCTGAAGAGCGGAGGCCTCAACTGAAAGACTCCCTCTAAGCGAGGGGAGGCCAGACGTACTCGAACATAATAAAGTTCATGATGCGGCCTACCGAGGCCGACCACTCAACTCAACAGATGGACGATTTATCAAGGTGGCCTCACAGAAGGTCGAACTCTTGGTTTCACTACTCTCGCTGGAGCTCAGGTGAGCTCCTAAGAGAGACTCTCTAAGAGAGAGGAGGCCAAACCTACTCAGCATAAGGACCTTCTGTCAAGGCAGCCCTACAGAGGGCTGCACACTTGATTCCAAGTCTAGCTTGAGCTCAAGTGAGCGGAGGCCTAAGCAGAATGACTCTCTAAGAAGAGGAGGCCAAATCAATTCAACCATATGATAGTTTATCAAGGCGGCCTACAGAAAGCCGAACACTTGATTACTCCGTCCAGCTGGAGCTCAGGCAAGCGGAGGCCTCAACAGAAAAACTCTCTAAGAAGAGGAGGCCAAACCACTCGACCATAACGACAACTCATCATGGCGGCCTCAAAAGAGACAGAGCACTTGATGTTACTACTGTAGCTGGAAGCAGAAGAGCTGAGGCCTCAGCAGAACGAATAAGCGAGAGGAGGCCAAACCAGCTCAACCATAAGACCAACTATCAAGGTGGCCTCAAAAAGTGCCGTAAACTTGATGTCACCATCTAATTGGTGCACCAGCGGTCTAAGTGAGACTAACTATCAAGGCGGCCTACAGAAAGCCGAACATTTGATTACACTGTCTAACTGGAGCTCTGGTGAGCGGAGGCCTCAGCAGAACAACTCTCTTAAGCGAGAGGAGGCCAAACCTACTCAGCATAAAGCCATATGACAGTCTAACAAGGTGGCTCACCAAAGGGCCGAAACCAGATGTCACTGCATAGGATCTACTACCACACTACCAGATACAGGCTTTCCCGAACCTCAGTATAGCAGGATGTGTAAGCTACACAAACCTGCTAAAACACCATAGGTTCAGTTCAGGGCCCGATGTGAAGCGTGGAGAAATACCTCAGAACCCGAGGGGGGGTCTGGGATAGGAAGGAGAAAGGAGAATTATCTCTTCCCTTTGGCGTAAGGCGGATTTGTTCCGCCCACGTGTTTGGCTTCAATAACCTCCCTCAAATCCTTCCTATTCCTCCTCATATCGCTCCTTTTTTGAGTCCTGCTCCTGCCAGCAGGGGGAGGAGGAGCCCGAGTTGCCACACTTCGCCTCTGAGCCTGCCTGTAGTCCACAGACGCAGATGGCCCAGGGTCGCCCGAGGTTTTAGGGACAAACCCAGGATGGCGTGGTATCAATTTCTTATAAGCTGCTGACCACGCCCTCGCCTCTCTGAATATATCGACCACAGCCTCGACTGATGTGCCGAATAACTCAGAGGGCTAGACTGGCGAATCGAGAAGAAAATGTTTCTCTTTCTCCCCGATGTCAGCCAGATTAATCCAGAGATGTCTCTCCGTGGCCACCATTGCCGCCATTGCACGACCAATTGCGGCAGCTGTTTGTTTAGTGGCCCAGCGAGCCAGATCTGTAGCACGGCGCAGCTCGATCACCGCTTCAGGGCACAGGCCCTTGCCATCGTCCAGGACTTTAAGCAGATCAGCCTGGTAGGCCTGCAACACAGCCATTGTGTGCAGAGCACCACCAGCCTGACCCGCAGCTGCATACGCCCTGCCGTTCAGCTTAGATGTCACTCTCAGAGGCTTTGACAGCAGGGTCGGAGTCTTCAGCATCGATGTTTCTCCCATTGAAAGATAGTTTGCCACCGTCTCTTCTATGGGAGGCATCGATGCATATCCGTGCTCGCGCAATCCCTCCACATTCGCATAATTTGCACGGTGAAAAAGATGAACGTGAGCGTTAGACTAAAAACGTTAGACTCGTTGGAACTGGGAGATCATGGCCAGCCAAAAAACGCTCATCTAATCTGCCGCGGGCGGACTTTGGCTTTTTGTGTTTCCAAGGAAGATTGAATTTCTCAGTCGCACGCGCCATAACCTCAAACAATTCACCGTATGACAGGCAGGCTGAGAGGGTTCCAATGATTCATTTTCATCCTCAACAACCACATCCTGCCCTTCTTGGCTTGCATCTAAAAGAGCACTATCTGCTGGATCAGATGACCCTAAAGAAAGAACATCCACATCCCGCAGATCACCCTCGTCGGTGGCAGAAGAGTGAGAAAGAGAAATACCTCTTTCAAAATCCTCCGCCAGCTCAATCTGTGAGCCCCATGATCTCATTCTCCGCTGTGCCTCGGCAGCAGCAGGTCCTGAACCACCGGGCGCCTACGCTCATCCTAATTCCCTCGAGAAAAGGGACAAGTGTGAACAGAGCTTTTTAATAGAAAAGCTCTCGCAAGCCGCGCATTCTGCTGCCTCGAGAACAGAACGCGCATGATCCTCATCAAGACAAATAGCGCACATATCGTGTGTGTCGTGTGTCATAGGATAACGTATTCCACAGGCATTCTCTTTTATACCCGCAGTCGCGTTATTGTTTACGTCATAGGCTACCGCCTGCCAATGTCAAGTTCATTGTCGTTTTTTTCGTTCATGCATCAGACACCGGTCACGCTCAAGGCATTCCCCTATCGCCCTTTAGAGGATGTATCGTGGAGTTCCCTTTCGAAAGGGAACTTGCAAATCTCTCTAGAATTGCAGATGAAATTGATGTTCTGTTGGTTGAAAATGTTGTTGCAGGGAACGTCAGATCTAAACCCTAAATGCAAATGTTTCCCACCAAAAAGTCCTTTGAAATCTTTGAAATTTCTGTGGATGGCTTTACAAGAAATTACAAGAAATTATATATAATATTATTTAATATTATATTAATAGAATTGGTAATGATATATCAAAAATACAATTATAAATATTATTATTATCATTATTAAAATACCATATGTTTGAAATTTCTGTGGATGGCTTTACCAAAAAGTATATATGACATAAGATTAATTGTGATTACTGTAATTTTATTGATTTCTTTATTAGAACAAAAGCCTATAAATTCCTCCAATAGTAATATTCCTTATTTCAGAATTTGGGTTAGAGGGTTAGAGGCATATTTAAATATTATTAATAATATTGATAAGTATTTTATTTATTGCATTATTTTTAATTATACTAAATTCAACATGTTAAATAATCCAAATCATAATACAAATTAAACATATTATAAAATGACTTTGAAAAGACCTATGATAAAACATGATGACTGAGAAAGTAATGAATTCACATAGAACCTTAACATTCACATAATAAAGCATAGCATCTCGTGGCCATTATTTTGTATTTTGTATTGTGTGTGTGTGTGTTTGTAAAGTATTTTGTGAGGCATCAAGTAGACTGGTGTCAGTGTCTCTCTGTATACAATCGCTATGTCTGTCTCACTCTGTTGTGTCTGTTTGTTCTATTTTTAGGCCAGTTTCTCTCCCACGATCACACACACATACAACCAATCCAGAAAAACAGACAGCATCCTCATGTGCTTTCTTCCAAAGCATAGTACTTAGAGGATCACATTTCTAACACGTTTCCTTCATAACTCCCAGTATCAGTGAATTATAGCTTTGCTTCTTCTCAGTTTTCTCAGTGCTTTTGCATACAACAGATATTTCTGTTCAAGAACCCTCATTCCCTCTTTCCCCAGGACACCCATAAGCTGATGACTCACGGTAGACTCTATACAGTCTCATTACACAGTATCTAGTTATTTCCCTCAGGAAACCCCTGCAGGTTACTAATGCTGATGAGAACTTAGTTCAACCGCATCATGGGGCCTGTATTATTTATCATCCACAAAGAAATGCTATTTAACCCTCATGTTGTGTTCCAGTCATTTTGACCTGGAGAGGATTTATATATATATATATATATATATATATATATATATATATATATACACTGCTAGTTTGCTGCTAGTTGGTCAGATTACTTCTTAGTGGCTATGTTTAGGCACCTGGACCATAGTCAAAAATGACTGGCCTACAAAAATATTGCTAATATATTTCTTGTTATGCCATATTGCCAAATATGGGATTCAATCTCTTTGGCAACTTGTTTTCTTTCAGTTAGTACAGGTTTTGTATCGCCCATGACTAGTAAGTTCTAAAAAGAAATACAAAATCTGTGCTAACTGAAAGAAGTTGACAAAAACATTGAATCCAAGATTTGGTAATAATGAAAGATTTACAAGCAATTCGGTAAAGGATTTTCAGCAGAATAAGGTCTAGCTGGACTTGATCTGTTTTCTCCATTTGAAAATTGAAAAGATTGTAATGTATAATAATAGCAATAGTATCCACTCTGTGGTTGACAGACAATGGCTTGTAGGATTAATACACCTCCGTTTCCCTCGTCCTATTTTTAAGATCCATTTCTAACCACATTTGAAACTGTTTTTAGGGGTGACACTGGAACACATCACTGGAAGCCCTTTTTAAAGGGGTCATCGGATGCCATTGGCATGCCCACAAGTTGATATGATTATTTAGGGTCTTAATGAAAAGTCTATAACATACTTTGGTTAAAATTTCTCAATGGTAGTGTAAAGAACACCCTTTTGACCCTGTCACTATGTGACCTGTGACTATGATGTACTTATTTAGGAGAACTGAAAGTCTTATTTTGTGCAGAACTTCAGGCTGTTCTTTCATTTGCCTCCTTATAAATCCATTTTCTCTTGATTACTCAGTGTCTGTAGGGTGGGCTTGTGAAGTGTGCAAGCGGCTTCCCACAAGCATCTCTCACTGCTGCAAGGGCACAGTGGGTTGGGGCTTGGCAACAGTATCCACGGCAACAGTTGCTGCAGCAGGCCGGTTAACACTTTACTGACAGGTAACTCAACAGCCTTGTGCTCTTCACTGACCTTCTCTTTCATCTCTCTGTCATTTTGAGGGACATTTGTAATGATCAAATTGACTGGTTCATTGAGCCTGAGGGCATGACTGAAGAACTGATAAAGTCAGTGCTTGTTAATGACTAATCTTTTAGATTGTGTCTTAGCAAATAGATAGTTACTTTTTTATATATACAGTGTATATATATATATATATATATATATATATATAGGTGGTAATTAGGTGGCATCAGCTGAATTGTTATCAGCAGCCTTCAAGAACGGATTGCCATTATGTTCAAAATGTAATAATAAAATCTCTTTTGTTTCAGAAAATTGTTCTGAGCATGTGCAAGATGACCGCCCTCTGATAGGAGAAGGTCATGGTGAGGACACCGGTGAGATTTTCCCTCTGTTGCCTCATCCAGTCATTGTCCTTCCACCAGTTCAAACACACCACAAGAAAAACATGAATAATTCAGCAGCATCTGTGTGCATATGCATGCTTAAAAGGATAGTCCATCCAAAATAAAAAATAAAAACTCATTATTAAAGTGATTGACCATCCGAAAATGAAAATTCTGTGAATATTTACTCACAATTATGTAAATCTGTACAATGTTCTTTTTTTCTGTGGAACACTAAAGAATAAATTGTAAACAATGTTGGCAATTTTTGTTTTCTGTGGAACATAGAAATACTTTTTTTTTTAAGAATCTCAACATTTTCTCACACAGTGATGGTTTAAACAAGAACAAAGAAACACCATAATAGAATGATTTTTATACCACTTTTGCGTAATTGAATAAGGTGCAGATTGGACATCAAATGTCTTTGGTTTTCAAGTGTCTTGTGGTAAAGATTTGCTATTTTTTATTTAATTAGAAAGTGAGGAACCTTTAGCTTTTGATGCCAGGTATAGAGATGGGACTTCGGGTGTTGCTAATTTTAATAAATCCTTTCTTTATTTCAGTTATGTATTACATGCTCCACAGTGAAAGTGAGTTCTATGATGGTTTGCAGTTGCTGTTTTAATAAAAATGGTCTTATCAAATTAATTTGAGTAGGGCTTTGTTTTATAATTAAACACAACAAATACATGATTCCAAAAATGTACATTAATTGTCATGCACCATGCATGTCACAACTTTTTTTCCCCCTAAACCTATATGTTTAACACATGCATTCACACAATGTCGTAGGGTACGTCTCTTACTTATTTTTAATGCATGGCTGCTCATGTCAGCCTGGTCCTTACAGGATAGTTTAAGAGGTCATTTAGAGTCGATGTGCACTGAGATGTGGATAACACATCCAAGTAAGTCCATTTCTACTTTACCTCTGTCACAGGAAAGAACAAAATAAAGAATAGTGCACAAGAAAACAATTTCCTAGGCTATTGTATGTGTATGTCTGAGAGACATGCTGACACTATACAGTAGGAAGTTAGTCATCAATAGCATCAGAATTACAGTCTCTGATGTTAGTGAGGTGGAGATGTACCAGATGATACAGAGAATGGCAATGGAATATGAGCTAAATAAAGTCTCTATTAAGGCTTGGGGAGTGAGAGGTGGTTCCCAGGGTGCATTTGTCACAATGGGATGTTCGTAGCTTGTTGGCAGCATTGCAGGGATATAAATCTTTGAATAACTGCAGTGTTATTGCCCACACAGCTCTCTACATCAGCACACAGCACAGAGGTGCAGTCACGAGTGTTACCTACCACACAGCCTATGTGGGCTTGGTAAAGGCAAAGGTTATGTGTGTGTGTGTGTGTGTGTGTGTGTGTGTGTGTGCGCGTGCGTGCATGTGTGTGTGTGTGTGTGTGCGTATGTGTGTTCACATACAGCAGTAATATAGCTTGTTTCTGTGTGTCCTTTGTACTATCAAATTGTTTACAATTATTTTATAATTCATTTCATACAACATTGTCCTTGTCCTCTTGACTCCTCATCCCTAAAGACTGACATAAACTAGAACATGATGGATTATGGGGTCGCTGGATCACAACAGGCAAGACATTTAAGGTGGGCTTCCTGCTGTGTTCTAATGCTCTATCCAAAAAAAAAAAAAAACTAAAACTGAAATAAAAAAGAATAAAATCTATATAATAAAAATAACAAAAACACAAAACATTACAAAAGCTTTAACTAAAATTAAAATGAAATCCGAAAATCTAAAAATATAGCATCTCAATGGTACTAAAACAACACTGATATAGGCACACTAAACAGCAAATGGGTTTTGCATCAAAACCATTATTGCACTTGAGACTGCAACATTCCTCCTCGACTCTAATCGTTAGTTGAAAAGAGTAAGCCATAATTCAGACATAAAACGATATCTGCTTCGTCATGCCTAGAGCTGATCCGTGCTGGTCGCTGAGGAAATACATTAACTTTGCACTGTGGATCGCTGGATCGGCTTTCACCGTGGACAAAGCGTAGTCCAGCCTGGGGTCGTCAAATGTTGTTGTCGCAAGCCCGCCGGACGCTTCTTCGTCGAATCCGCCGGCCGCACCGTTCTCAAGGCCGCCCACTGCCGCTCACTCTAGGCCTCCGTGTGTTTCGTTGTGAAAGCGAAACTACTTTGTTTGGCCTTCCAAAAATGGACACGACTAGAAATCAGTGGTTAAGTTGTATTTACAACACTGTTCCAGAACAGTTCAACCCAAATATTCAGATGTGTGCAGCGCATTTTATGAAGGACTGTTTCCTGATCCTGGTAGAGTAGACTAGAATGCCGGCTGTTCTGACTCACAGACTGTAAGTACGTTTTCATATTTAAAGAATTTTCCACTGAAGATTAAAACGCGAGTTTTGAGCAGTGTACAGTAGCACTTGTTGTTTGTCATTTCTCCGATCACAAATGCAGACATGGTTTTATGTGTACGCGGTGTGATGCAACGCAACGCGTAAAAAGACAGTATAAGTCATTATAATCCGTAATTATGTCCCCACTGGATGCAACAAATGCCTCGTTTATAATGGGTTTTCTTGTTTTTGAATCATCGCTCCGGCCTGACAGGGCATCACAATATGGTAGGGGTGTAACATTTCCGTCACACACTTTAGGTATTCAGGCAATCACAACGCACTGGATAGCTGACCAATCAGAGCACACCTCGCTTTTCAGACCGATGAGCTTTGTAAAAATCGACAGGCAGGGCATAGAGGTGAAACAGTAATGTACAGTATGTGGAAAATAATGTTTTTTTAACCTTAAACCGCATAAACATTTCATTACACCAAATACACAAAATAATGTTCTTTTTAACAACATCAATGGCCTTTAATAAGGTTTGAAATCAAGCTAAGTATCATAATTTACATTGACTGCTGCTATATCAATAAAATCACTTCATCCACATATTGCAAATAGTTATAACCTGCAATTGTTAATATTAAATAATATTTGTGACTTGAATAAAACCAATTAATATAGATATTTATAGCTCATACCTTTTTTTCAGTGCACTTAGGTCAAGAAATGTAAGAGTAATATCTCATCACCTTTCAGGTAGACTGGAAAGTTGGCAAAAATGATTATTTCCCATATTTCAAGTGGCTGACCATAATGAAATAGAAATGCATCAGCTGTTTAGTTTTAAACCACACAATCTTCAAATATTATGGATATTGACATTTAATGTCTTGAGTTCTACTGCAAAGATGAATGAATTGTCATAATGCTTGATACAGAAAACAATGTATGTCATCAACTCTGTAACAGTTTCACCTGCCATTTCCGGTGAGCTTTCAAAAATCCCATTCAATTTAAAAGGACAGACACATCAAGGTGGGCTTCATAATGTCTTTATTGGTCATGTGCCATACAGCAGTAAGATAATTACTAAATAGAAATTAAATCAACTACATTCAGCTCCTAAAGTTTTCAGTCATCAAGTACACAGTGGCCCCTACACATTAGATAGCAAACAAAGTCACTTTCTTAGCAGAAATAACAGGTTAATGCACACACTGCCAGATTCAAAAAGCTGCTGGTGGCTTAAGGCATTTTTTATCCAAGAGCATTCATACATAAACAGTAGCATGTTTTAGATGGATTGTTATGTATTGGTGTAAATGTGGGTTGACTTTTTATGGAGGGATGTTGATTGCACATGCATTACAAAAGTTTGGCAGTGCAGTTTGAAATTCTCCTTCAAACTGCATTGTGTCACTATGTTTTCTGCAATCTCCTTTCGCTCTCCCAAAAATAACAGAGCAAATCCCAAAATGCTCAGAATATCCATAATAAGGTTACCAGGCCTAAGGAGCATCTGTGAGAATGTACAGACAAAATTCCAGATTTGCCTGACATTCCCTTTAAAAGGACAGACACATCAAGGTGGGCTTCATAATGTCTTTATTGGTCATGTGCCATACAGCAGTAAGATAATTACTAAATATAAATTAAATCAACTACATTCAGCTCCTAAAGTTTTCAGTCATCAAGTACACAGTGGCCCCTACACATTAGATAGCAAACAAAGTCACATTCTTAGCAGAAATAACAGGTTAATGCACACACTGCCAGATTCAGAAAGCTGCTGGTGGCTTAAGGCATTTTTTATCCAAGAGCATTCATACATAAACAGTAGCATGTTTTAGATGGATTGTTATGTATTGGTGTAAATGTGGGTTGACTTTTTATGGAGGGATGTTGATTGCACATGCATTACAAAAGTTTGGCAGTGCAGTTTGAAATTTTCCTTCAAACTGCATTGTGTCACTATGTTTTCTGCTTTCGCTCTCCCAAAAATAACAGAGCAAATCCCAAAATGCTCAGAATATCCATAATAAGGTTACCAGGCCTAAGGAGCATCTGTGAGAATGTACAGACAAAATTCCAGATTTGCCTGACATTCCCACGCAGCTAAGCATGCCAATGTCACAGTGTTCATCGGAAAAATGTATTCCGATATAGAGAAAGAAATCCATTCACTTCGGTTCCCATCATACAGTTCTTAAAGTGAATTAAGCCCAACAATATCAATCTGTTCAAACTGTCTATAGAAAGAGTGCAGCAAGGCAGGCTTACCAAAGCCATGACATAGAGGCAAGTGGTATCAAAACCTGGCAGTGTAACAGAAGTGTAATGAAATTATTTTACTAGCATTACCTTTTAATATGTTATAAGTTTACCAAAGGGATTCATTGTTGACTCATGGTTAATGGAGGTTCACTGTGACAGTGACTTCTTTGTATGAGAGTACACTAGATTCAAGTATGAAGTTTAGGTGTTTGAGATGCATTGTGAAAAGTTGTGTTAGTGACTGCGTTTCCACAATGTAAATGTGCTTCAGGCATCCACGAATATACAAGTAAAATATTGAAAAGTTAATGCATTTTCTAAATTCTAAATATATACTGTTACTTTTCTTAATAAAGTCATAATATTTGTTTCATCCGCCCAAACACAACCAATTCTGGACTCACACTATCTTTCTATTATTCTATTATTTCTATCACAATATCTTTCCCAGTCATTCCACCATATCCTTTCACTCTGACAACTGATATGAACGAGATGCCGTTTACATACATTTAAGTGCCCTGACTTGATTGACTATAAAGTATTTGTCAGAATTTGTATTAATCACAAGCATTTAGCAGCATGTGAAAGGCTTCAGCAGTACTGTGTAACATTTTGCTCTCAGTCTTGCCCATTGGCTGGTGAACTAATGCAGCCTTAAGTACTGAGAGGGATGGCAGGTACACTGCTATGAAAGTATAGGTACACTTCTGTTGGACCCACATACAGTCACCATGCAAAGAGCAGATACACCTCATGCTGTGAGGACTTGCTATTAGGCTCAAATCCTTGTCCCTTTTATAGGGCAAGTGGGTGAGACATGTTTAAAATGGAATCAAGAGCAGTCTTGGAGAGGAATTTGGCTGGGTGGAGTGTTTTCGAAACTATCCATGTATAGTTCCAGATTCCTATTTTTACTTTTTTTTTTTTTTTAGCATTATGAGTATACCGAAGTTAACTGGAGTCAAGAAACAGATGCAATTCTGATGCAATGATACTCCAAGATGCCATTGTTACTAGGGCTGCCATGATGCAAAGACAACAATAAATGACTGGCTTACCGCTTATATTGTAAGACAGAAAATATTATTGCAAGTCAAGTTTTGTGCTGGCTTTTGGAAAAACTGCAGCATAATAAGCTACCTTCACCAAAGCTAACCACATAGACATTTCCTTAATGCAATGTGCTGAGAGAAGCCTGTTATAGTACAGTTAAAAGTGACGATAAGGCTCACAGTGCAGCCCAGGAATATATGCAGAATATATGCATCAAAGAGTGTGTATTGAGTAGTTAGTGGTTTGCTACAGAACAACTGCTGCCCCGTGACTGAGTGGGAGGTGAATTAGTGGAGAATAAGTTGAAATTCGCTAGATTTCTCTCTGAGACCCCCTTTGTGGAGGGGAATTGCTTGGGAAAAGGAAGAAGAGGGTAATGGAGAAGGCAGAGGGAGGGAGGAGAGGAAGAAAGAAAGAGGGTTGAGACATTTAGTTTTTCTGGTTGGTGGGGTTCACATCTCCAGAGTTGATTTTGTCACTCGTCTTGGAGTCGTCAGACTGGGAGGAGCCTTTGCCGGGTTTGCTGCTCTGCTGATGTTTGTCGTCATCATCCTTGACCTCCTTCTTTCCACTAGCGCTAGTGCTGCTGTACATACGGGACAGGTAGCTGTAGCTGGACACTGAGGCAGGGGTGGGGTAGGTGATCCCAGTGCTGATACGTGTCTCCTCCCCTTCCAACAGTTTCCTGAGATTGATAATAAATGAGAAGGTGAACAAAGAAAAGGTGGTGAGGAAGGGTGTGGTGGATTTATGGTGTTAAACAGAATGAAGAGAGAACAATGGAATACATTTCTGTATAGCATCAGCTAATTCCATGAAATAAATTCTCAGGATTTTCATTTTAGGTCACACGTACAGAATGGTGCTAAAGAATGGACAGTATGCACATTTCACTAGCATTCACTTTCACATATCAATAACAAACATTGCTTATTACCTGTAAGCAGCTATCTCTATGTCAAGTGCCATCTTGACATTCAGCAGGTCTTGGTACTCCCTGAGGTGATGGGCCATCTCACTCTTAGTGGTCCTCAACCATGAAATAAATTCTCAGGATTTTCATTTTAGGTCACACGTACAGTATGGTGCTAAAGAATGGACAGTATGCACATTTCACTAGCATTCACTTTCACATATCAATAACAAACATTGCTTATTACCTGTAAGCAGCTATCTCTATGTCAAGCGCCATCTTGACATTCAGCAGGTCTTGGTACTCCCTGAGGTGACGGGCCATCTCACTCTTAGTGGTCCTCAGCTCATTCTCCAACTGCCCAACTGTATCCTGGGTGATGTTACATGATATAATTATAATTAAATTCAATAGAAAAACTGCTGCATTTAGACTGAATTACTTGATTTGATGATAGAAATGATTTCATACACAGGTTCCAAAGGGAAAATATAGTAGCGATGCAACAGAAGAACCATTATTTGTTCCCCAAAGAACCATTAAGGGAATTTACCCGTGCTGCTCCTCGCATTCAACCTTCCTTACTGCAGATATTTTAGATGGATAGACCCCGAAGAAATGCGACAAATAGGCTAAGCTGCTCTGTAGGTTATTTTTAACTTTTAAAGGCGCAAAGAGTGCTTTTTGCCCGTGGAAGGTGTGCTCAGTCTCAGTCTATCAGTGAAAACTCAGGTCGGCAGCAGCGAGCGGGTGGAACTGTCCTTTTTGGCGCAGCGCAGATGTCAGCAAAATATCACATCGTTTATTTACTCACCCATACACCATCACGACACATCTATGAAGAATTTCTACCACCTCTGAAAATAACACACACCTCAAGAACACACACTAAAGACATGCCATTGTGATAAATTTGGTATTATTATTATTATTATCATCATCATCATCATCATCATCATGATCATTATTATTATTATTTAGAGTAAAAATAAAAACAGTAGGCTACAAGAGCAGTAGGAAAAACATCTGGCATCTGTGGTTGTAAGAAATAAAGTGATGGTGTTACAAGCATTATGCATGGCAATTATATTTCAATTCTGCACATGTAATTAAAGCATGTTAATATATAAGATCTGTTCATAAAATTGTTTGTGTGGAATGCCAAATAGTTCTAATGACGAGTTCACTGAGTTCAACTGCTATAGGTACAGGGAATTCTGGGAATGCCCCTTTTTCTGTAGCCTAGTAAAAGTAAAGCGATGATTTGTTGCTTAACCATCATATTTTAATGGCCAGTAGGCCTAATATAAATCTGTATCAGTAAATTTGTAGGTAATTCATACTTTGCATACTGCTGTATTATTATTTTTTTATTAATTAAAATTATTAGCATGTGTACAGTGTAGATTAGAATAATAATAGTTTACTTTTGACCGTTTTGATATATAAATGCAATAATTTATCATCTACACCGGGGCTGTCCAAACTCGGTCCTGGGGGGCCGGTGTCCTGCAGAGTTTAGCTCCAACGCTAATTAAACACACCTGAACCAGCTAATCAAGCTCTTACTAGGCATAGAAACTTCCAGGCAGGTGTGTTGAGGCAAGTTGGAGGTAAACTCTGCAGGACACCGGCCCTCCAGGACCAAGTTTGGACAGCCCTGGTCTACACAAACGTCGTGATTTTAGGTTAGATCCTCACATATCAAACAAAAATCACAAACAGCCTATCGTAGATTTACACTTTCAATAGTCAGTAAAATGTAAAATTTGACACTACTATAGGGCTACACAGTAAATCTAGCCATATTGTATGACAGCAGTTATACAGTGCTGCCATCTGTTGGCCGCTTCGAGATCTCAATAGATTAAAGGCAAACAAACAAGGCAAGGCTTGGAAAACTTTCCATGACTTGTGTGGCCTTCAGATTCAGACAGAATTTGCCATACCCATGTAATCTATTCAGTGTGTTATCAAAAGGTGCGATGAACATGTGATGGTCATAAGGTTTTGTGTTATATGAGTTACCATTAGTAGCCTAAATGTTCTCACTGTGCCATATGACTGAATCTACTCTAGTTGACCTTTTCAAATGAAGCCTTCACCCGGGCATCTCTAATCAATCTGGACACACAGTCAATGATTGTTTCTTCTCCATTCTACTCTGTCCTATTATATGTTCACAAATTGCAAATGTTTTTTTCTCTTTTCCCTCTCTCTCTCTCTCTCTAACTTTCTTTCTATCACTCTCACACACACACACACACACACGTACACACACACACATGCTTTGAACACTGTGGTTTTCATCAGAGAAAAATCGCTTATAAGCTTTTAACGAGAATTTATCCTATTTGGTTATCCGTTTCAGAACAAGATCTATACAGAATCTAGAAATATAGCTGTACCAATGAATCATTGATTAACAATTAAAGGGGACATAACACACACAGTTTCACTCAATCTCATGTTAATCTTGAGTACCTATAGAGCAGTACTGCATCCTTCGTATCTCCAAAAAGTCTTTAGAGTTATCATATTTATAAAAGAAAGATACAGCTTTACGATTCTCTCCGGAAAAAGCTGAGCTCCTGGAGGCGCGTCGTGGGCGGAGCTAAAGAGTGACGAGCACTTGAGCTCCGACTGCCAACAAAACAGACATTTGATGCCGTTTCACTTACCTTCTGCAGTTCTGAATCATGACCGGGATCTTTTATAGCTGGGACTGCTCCATCTTTCAGTATCAAACGATGTGCAAATCCCTCGTCGAACTGGGCCTTGTTTATAAAACGTTGGTCAACAAACAGGCTTGTGAAACTGCGTTGCTGCTCCGGATAAACAAACTGCATCCACTGTTTACATAACATTGGGTTCTTTAGGAAGCTGAACAAAGTTATCTTTCCCTACAACCAAAAACACACTTCTTTGGAGACATCCTTCCCGAGAATCCCGTGCAGCGCTGCTGAATGAAGCGTGTTGATGGACGCGATCTCGCTCTTACTCTCGCTCTGGTCATTGTGTGCACGGCAGTGTTGCCAACTTCTTTCAATAGAAAGTAGCTAAAGCCCATTTTAAATGTCGCCAGATGACATTATACGCTAATTAGCATATTCATGACGTCATCGCGTCTGTTGCCTTTTACATTTGTTTGTCTCTCTGTGCTCACATACTGTATTTTAATGCAGCCAAATTATCAATAAAACTGTTTTCATTCATATTTATTACTGTTTCTGTTGTCAGACAACAGAATAAATATGAAATAGTGACTGAAATGCGGCCCTTTAAGACTACATAACCAGCTCTCCCTTCCAAAACGTTAATCTGCACAAAAATTTTGCTTTATATTTGAGCCATCGTCTGGCATAAGAAAAGACAAGGCACAGACAATTCCTGTGCTGTGATTTCGGCTATATGTGCATGTAAAATTAGAGAAGCAACATAATATCTATTTTAACTGAAGGCGCTGCTCCTCTCAGCCACTCGCTGAACAGAGCAGACGCAGAGAGAGAGGTGTGTGCGCGCTGACCTCGCACCGTTGCGTCAGTACCAGCGATCACAGAGACTCGCTAAGGTTTGTCCAAGAAGTCGCTAGATTTGTGGCTAGTCGCTTTTTTGGAAAAAAAAAAGTCGCCAAAGGGTCTGAAAAGTCGCTAAATCTAGCGACAAAGTCGGGCGCGCTCTTCCGGGAGAAATGCCCATATAAGGAGTTCCACCCTCGTCTACGTCATGAAGAGCCACGATCGAAAAAAAACCTCAGAAACTTGTACGAACCGGAAGTAAGATTTTTAGCACAGAAATACGCCGTCATGCATCCAAATTGTTTTTTGAAATTCTGTCCATGCTTAGCATAAGAATCCAACTCTTTAACAGTGTAAACAAATCTGAATGCATGAAACAGCATTGTACCCCCACTTTAAGGTCAGATTGTCACGGCACGGTAAAGGAACACACCGTGTAAACAGGGGTCTGGGTCCAAATGCAGGTTTATTTGACTGCAGGGGAAAACAAAGTAAAAAAAACCAAAACAGAAAACACAAACAGAGCTAAGACTCTGGAATCTGACATAATACGGCCACTTCTGGCTTGCATCAGTCCATGTACCAACAATTAATAATCCGCCCAGAGAGGCATGTGGAAGGCGTATAAATAGCCCTCAGGATGGGCAACAGCTGTGTTTGTGTGAGTGTGTGCACAGGTGTGTGGAGTCAAGGTAACGGAGTCCGGGAGGATGGGAAGTGGCGACCTCTGGTGGTGAGAGGGAGAACACCAGACCCAGACCCCTGACACAGATAGGTTAAGTGATGTGATGGGTTAAATGCAGAGGCGGACAGTAACTAAGTACATTTACTTGAGTATTGTACTTAAGTACACTTTTTGAGTATCTGTACTTTACTTGAGTATAATTTTTTCTGGAAACTTATGACTTTAACTTCACTACATTTGAAAGACAAATATTGTAATTTTCACTCCACTACATTTCTATCAAGGTCCTCGAAGTAGAAAGTCGTTACTATGTGGCAGCTTTGAAAGTCAGTGGGTGATTTCTTTCTTCTCTAAAATATGACTTTCTTTTTTTCAGACAGTTTATCAGTAATCACTCTTGTAGGGCTACATGAAGTGATTTCCCAGTATTTTTTGAACACTGACCAGTTGCAAATGTGGTATTTATTTACAACAATTCAATAATAAGAAGTTAATATTGTGGTATATATTAGACACAATATTGTCTGATTTTGCTCAATTGTGTACGTGAAAATACTTATAAAGCCACAGAAGAACTGTTGTGCATCTCCTAATAAAACACAAAAGGTGTTTGACTGAAGCAGCACTGTGTATACAGCGAGAGCGATTAGACAGCATTTAAAAAAAAATTTGTTTTGATGTCAGATAAGTCTTGCTGTTTTGCTTTTTTTGTTAAAGCAGTGTTGCTGTTGTAAAGTTATACAGCTACAGTTATGTTGCTGGGTTTTAAAGCAGGTTTGATTTTTTTTTTCTTCCTTATCACTCTGCATTTACAGAATTTCACTGTACTGTATTCAGTAGGTGTAATGTATTCTAAATTGCTTCAGAAGTATTGCAAGTACTATGTACAACAATAAAGCAGTGCATTGGCATAAAAAAGGAAATGTACTTTTGGTACTTAAGTACTTTTAAAAGCAAGTACTTCTGTACTTTTACTTACGTAAAAAATCTAAAAAACAAAAAAAAACTTTTACTTGTAATGGAGTAATATAATAGCCTTATAAAAGGAATAAAAGTTTTATTTAGTTGAAACACTTATTATGTGTAGTGAAAATGAAATGAAAATGATGTTGTATTTTGCACTAACAATTAAAAATATGCTAAAATGTTTGAAAAGAGTGCATTTCTGCATATGTTAAAATAGTAGCTACTTAGAGATTTGAAAATGTACCACTTGCTTGTGAAAATTGTAGGCCAATGAAAAGTTGCATTAACAAAGATTAACAAATATTGTATATATTGCTCATTGTTAGTAGTTCATGTTAGCTAATGCATTAAACAGACCAAAATTTGTCAACAAGTGTTACTGAAATTAGTTAGTTCTAAAATTAGTCATGAACTAACCAGGAACAATAATTTGTCAAGTCAATGGCGCCCATCAACTGTTCGGATACTAACATTTTTCAAAATATCTTTTTATGTTCAACAGAAGAAACAAACTCATACAGGTTTGGAACAAGTGGAGGGTGAGTAAATGATGACAGAATTTTCATCCTGAAAGTGAACTACTCCTTTAATTTAAATACTTTTTATTCATTTATTTTAATAATATATTTTTTAAATGTTTTATCATTTATTTAGTTAGTGTGATAATCTTACTTTAATTGTTTATTTATTTTTACAATTTGACACGGTTTTTCTCTAAACTTTTCCACAGACCTCCTAGCTCTACCATGCGGCCATTGTCATCACGGCTACTTTAAACAGCTCCATTAATCCTTTAGCCCAGTGGTTCTCAACTGGTTTGGCCTTGGGACCCACGTTTTCCCATGGTTGTCACGACGCGACCCACTTATATATATATA